ACTGTAAAAATAAACATATTATTAGCGTTAAAAGCTGCTGTACTAATAAAAAATTATCAAATCATTAAAGGTTAGGGCAGAATTTTTAGTTTTTGGGGGTTTGTCTCTTCAAAGTGGTTAATTTGTATTTTTTTTATATTTCTACTGTAAAAATAAACATATTATTAGCGTTAAAAGCTGCTGTACTAATAAAAAATTATCAAATCATTAAAGGTTAGGGCAGAATTTTTAGTTTTTGGGGGTTTGTCTCTTCAAAGTGGTTAATTTGTATTTTTTTTACATTTCTACTGTAAAAATAAACATATTATTAGCGTTAAAAGCTGCTGTACTAATAAAAAATTATCAAATCATTACATGTAAAAGCAGAATTTTTAGTTATTTGGGGTTTGTCTCTTTTTAAAGTGGTTATTTTTGTATTTTTAAGACATTTCTACAGTAAAAATAAACGTATTAATAGCGTTAAAAGCTGCTGTACTAATAAAAAATGATCAAACCATTAAAAGTAAAAGCAGAAGTTTTAGTTATTTGGGGTTTGTCTCTTTTTAAAGTGGTTATTTTTGTATTTTTATGACATTTCTACTGTAAAAATAAACATATTATTAGCGTTAAAAGCTGCTGTACTAATAAAAAATTATCAAATGATTAAAGGTTAAAGCAGAATTTTTGTTTTTTTGGGGTTTGTCTCTTTTTAAAGTGGTTAATTAAGTATTTTTATGACATTTCTACAGTAAAAATAAACATATTATTAGCGTTAAAAGCTGCTGTACTAAAATGATTAAAGGTTAAAGCAGAATTTTTAGTTATTTGGGGATTGTCTCTTTTTAAAGTGGATATTTTTGTATTTTATGACATTTCTACTGTAAAAAATAAGCACATTATTAGCGTTATAGTAGGAGAAATATTGATTTTCCAGGATAAAAGTCAAACTGAGGCAGACTTTGTCGTATTAGTCTTCAGGGTTTTTGCTCTGGCAACATGAGGTGTGAAGTTTTGTGTTTTTTATCGTCTTTGTGAGGCTTTACCCGCTTCTGCCCGCCTCCGGGGACGTGGCCGATGTTGTCCAGGGACCCGATTTTGGATTGAACTTTGAACTCCAGCTTCTCGTGTTTGATCTCCACGTTTCCACCGCCTGAAAAGGAACGATAAAAAATTATACAATCAATAAACGGAAAAG